CTATAAGATTGTAATGAAAGATAACGGTTCCATAAACCATTTTACTTTATTATCATTAAAAAAAGTATTTTATTTTATTTTATTCAATGATATGCCTTTCTCAATAAAGCGTAAGCATCTTTGATTCTCAAGTCCAATAAGTTGAACAGAGCCTCTCTCCCCAGTAGTTTGAGTAGTTTTCATCTTTAGCATTCAGGGAGGGTGGATGTTAAAATGTGAATGCTTTGCCTTGCCTTCAGGCCAGTCCAATGGCTTTGTGTGTAGGCTGAGACTCTCTCTCTCTCTCTCTCGCTCTCTCTCTCTATCTCTCTCTCTCTCTCTCTCTCTCTCTCTCTCTCTCTCTCTCTCTCTCTCTCTCTCTCTCTCTCTCTCTCTCTCTCTCTCTCTCTCTCTCTCTCTCTCTCTCTCTCTCTCTGTGTGTGTTTGTCCCGCACATGTGGAGGAGAAAACTCACACCATAGGGCCCTCAGTGTGTCGATTTAAACCTCATTGTTGTTTACTACTTTACTACTGATGCCTGAGCCTCCCCAGAAAGACTAGCTCCCCTACACCCCCCTGCCTCCTTCCTCTAGTAATCCATTTTGTAGTTGGGTGCAAGAAACAAAAGGGAGGCCTGCTTTACACGGTTTATGTGAGGGAACAGTCCCTCTTCTCCAGTGCAGTTCATTAAGAGATTACATAGAACCCCGGGCCTTTGTAGCAGGCAGGCAGGGACAGTCCTTTTGTGAATTGGGGGGGGGGCATAGAGATGTAGATCCGTCATGAATGAGTGACGAGGGCAGGCTGAACGTTGTAATGCTGCCCTCCTTCTTCCCCACCCCATCCCCCCCTCCACCATTTTACCCCCATCACGATCTACCCAGGGAGTCCCCACTAATTTTGTCTATCCCCCCTCGATCTCTCTCAAAGGAAAGAAAAAAAAAAATCCCCTTGTTTTAATGTAGCTCTCTGTCTAGCGGGGAAGGGTGGGTCGGGTTAGGGCTGGGATTGGATTGGAGAGAGAAAATGGAGAGAGAAGGAAAAGGGGAGTAGAGAAAGAGAGGGATTGTGGGGGAAGAGTGGAGTCATCCTGTGTTAACACAGCGTACTGAGAGGTAGGGTTCAATAGACAGGTCTCCCATGACAACGCCCAGAAGAAAAGTTGATGATTAAGATCGCATTCAGGGAGGGAAAGGGAAAGCGATAGAGAGGAAGAGAGGTAAAGAGAGATTGAGTGAAGCGTGGGCCCCTACACTGCAAAAAAAAAAATATATATATTGATTCAACGTACAATTGTAAGGCACCCAGCTGCAATAGGATTGGAGGATGCTTAACAAAAAGTTTGTGTGAAAATTGTGTTGAGCAAACTCAAGATCCTATTGCAGCTGGTTGCCTTATAATTGTATGTTGAATCAACATCTTTATTTGTTTATTTTTTTATATATACAATTGTAGGGGCCGTGGGGTAATTATGGCTGGGCTGAGGAGGGCCCCATAGGCCTGGATTAGAGGATGAAAGTTAGGGCCGAAGGCAGAGAGACATAGAGGGAGAGAGCCCCTCTATCCCCCCGATAGAGTGACAGTCGACTGAGGAAGGATAAAGACCCCTGTCCCCTCGGCCGACGGAGGGCGAAGAGGTTACAGCGTGGGTGGATTAACTCCTGCTATCCCTTGTCTTGTCTCATTGTCCCCTAGACTAATGAATATCCATATTGGGCTGATGATTGAAAGTCAAACACTGCTGTATCCCTTCCTCCTCCCCCCTGTGTTGTCTGCCATCGCTCTATATTCCTCTCCTTTGTTATCCTCCTTCTTTTCAGTGTTTTCTTAGAACTCTGGGGTAGAGGAGCAGAGGCTATTGGGACATGATTGTGTCTTGGCTGTCATTATGGCAGTATCTTTTTCTTGGCAGGCCACACAAATAGCGAGCCAGGGTTTAAGAAAGATAGATAGAGAGAGAGAGAAGAAATGTGGGATTTAGAGAGAGAGAGAGAGAGAGAGAAAGAAAGACAGAAATTAGAGATATATCATACAGGTTTTTACTGGCAGCAGATGGGATGGTCATAACCCCCAGGAAACAGAAACACCTCCCTCCCCTCCCTGGCCCAAAACCTCACCCCCACCCTCCCACTGCACCCCCTAAAAAAGACACCAAAGTTAAAAGCGAGAGAAAAGGGGGAGAAGATATATGAGGAAAACAGATGTCAGCTCGTTGATTTACTGTCAAGCCCCTTTCGTGTCTCACCCACCTGTGCTCCGGCTCTTGGGTTTTTGTCACGTATCCGTGGAGTGAGTGAGTGAGAGAGAGAGTGAGTGAGTGAGTGAGTGAGTGGAGAGAGTGAGTGAGTGAGAGAGAGAGTGAGTGAGAGAGTGAGTGAGAGAGAGAGTGAGAGAATGAGTGAGTTCGAGGTGAGATGAGTGAAGTGAGTGATAGTTGAGTGAGTGAGTAGTGAGTGAGTGAGTGAGTGTAGTGGTGAGTGAGTGAGTGAGTGAGTGGTGATGAGTGAGTGAGTGATGAGTGGAGTTAGTGCGTGAGTGAGTGAGTGAGTGATTTAGTGCGTGCGTCGTGATCCGTTAGTGTGCGTGCGTTGCGTGCGTGCGTGCTGCGGCCGTGGCGGCTGCGTGCGTTGACTCGCTTGTGCGTGCAGTGCGTGCGTGTGCTTGCCTTTTCGCTTCGTGGTGGTGCGTGCGCTGTCGTGCGTGCGTGCGTGCGTGCGTGCTGTCGTGCGTGCGTGCGTCGTGCGTGTCGTGTACGTGCGTGCGTGCGTGCGTGCGTGCGTGCGTGCCTTGGTCTGCGTGCGGTCGCGTCGTGCCGTGCGTGCTCGTGCGTGCGTTCGTTGCGTCGTCGTCTTGTGCTGCGTGCTGTGCGTCTGCGTGCTGCGTGCGTGCGTCGCGTCGTGCGTGCGTGCGTGCGTTGCGTTGTCCGTCTCGTCGCGTCGCGTGCGTGCTTGCTTGCGTGCTGCGTGGTGCGTGCGTGCGTGCGTGCGTGCGTGCGTGCGTGCGTGCGTTGTCGTGCTGTGCGTGTCGCTGGAGCTGTGTAAGAGAAGGCACCTGTGGCTATTCTCACCTCAGCACCAATTGGAGTGACAGTAGGTTTATAGGAGAGCTGCTTGGCCGACTGAGGCAACACTTTTACTTTTGCTTTTACCCACATTGTAACTTTTCTCCAGGCTGCAGCAAGCCCACCACCACCAGTGGATTTGGAGAGAATCATTTGTAATTCAAGAACAAACATAGTAGATTAGAGAGGTGTAGGAGGGGTTGTGATCACTTTTCTTCTGTTTTTCCTGAGGTGGGTGCTGTTGTGCCCATTCTCTGGACCCTGTATGTCACGGCTAGGCCCGCGGACATATACGCACATATGCACGTCTGCACACTGACACATATGCATGCACAAACACACATACTATACTACATGCACACTGGGTTGGACTTATCTTTGTACTTTGTGTGCATGCACACACACACACACACCCTCACATATGGACACACACACACTCTCACATATGCACACTCACACACTCTCCTGTCCCCCTCACCTCTCCATCCCATACCTTTCTCTATGGCCCAGCCTCTGTGATTATAATAGGTCATAATGTGCACTCAAAAAATTAAAGGTTCCTGGAGTATCCTTTGGGGGTTCTTCAAATTGAAACTGTGGGGGAATCCCTATAAGTTCTTCGAAGAACCCTTTAAAAGGGTTCTTCAAAGAACCCCTTTTAATGTATCCTCAATGAACCCCCCCCCCCCCCCCCCCCCCCCACACACACACACACAAAAAAATCCGAATATCAGGTAAACTCCCAGCAGAGCCCCGTCCAATGTGTATATCCTCTGGAATGTTGATGTTAATGTGTTGATGTTCTCCGTATCCATAGCCAGAATTATTTTGCATTGCATGGTGATCAAACAGGTTTCCTGTTATATTAGTAGTAATTAGTAGTAGTATATAAATAGTAATTATATAGATGATTAACAAAACATGCAGACAACAGTATTTTTGTGGTAAATGTGAATGAAAAAACTGTTTTGATAATGGTTTTCATACACATACCTTGTCCATAATGTAGAGGCCTATGGGATTTTCATTGAAGAGTTAAGGGAGGAGGATGGCACATGTTATCTGCATAACATACCAATACCAATTGACATACCGTTGTATGCCTCCTCGTCTGTATACCTGCAGACACAGACACAAAAGTGAGCAGTTCAGTCATCTGCACCTAATACAGCTAGCCTTCAACATATTCTTATAGCATACATATTCTTACCTCTTTGTTGATTGATACCCATTGAATTGTGTCGATTTTCTGTTTTAGAAAGATTTGCACAAATATGAAAAGCTAGATGGTATCATCATAAAACAATATCAATTTAGATCATACAAGGGACAAACCTTACTTTAAATTGAGGAGATCTTTACATTTTTCAGTTAAGTGCCTGCACCTGCTGTCCTTTCAAATTCAAATCGAAATGTTTCAGTTGGGCAGTTAGGTTCCTACAAGAACCCCCACCAACTAAGGAGGTTCCTCGATGAACCCCACCTCATATGGGGTTCTTAGAATAAACTTTCGGGGGCAATCTTCAGTGCCAAGAACCCTAAGGTTCTTTGAAGAACTTTGAGGATATTAGAAGAACCCTTGTTGAACCCCTAATTTTTTAGAGTGTGTGTGGAGGCCCATGGTGGGCTTGTTAACAGCAGTACAGCCGAGGGATGAACACTGTATAGCGGTCCTCGTACAGCACTCTGCTTGGCCCTTTCACATAAAGCACAGCCCTGGAAATATTTATGACCCACGGAACCTCAGTCACTCACAGGGACAAAAGGTAGAAGGGGAGGAGAGGTGAAGGGGCAAGTGTGCCTTAAAGCGGGGGTTAAAGCCATTTACTAACACGAGAAGCTAGGGTGGGCTTTTATTTGTTTACCCCCTCCTACCGTTTTTTCCCCTTCTCTCCATCACACTATTCGCCCTCCATCCACTCGCTTTCTCTCCCGTTGGTCTGTACCCGGGGTGTGAGAGATGCAGCTGTTGAGCGGTAGCTGTCATGACTGTGTTGAGGTGCAGGGCAGTCAGAGCTGTAATGTCTGGTTCTGTCTCCTCACCCGTCTAGGTGACCTTGCCTACCTGGTGTTTTGTTCTAATGTCTGCCAGTGGGAGGGACAGGGGGACGGGTGTGTGTTACAAGCAGCTACCTCCGCACTGGACACCCCAGGGAGGGAGGGATGGAGGGATGCAAAAGAACAAGTGTATAACCTGACCATTTCTCTGTTTTTCCTTTTCAAATTTTCTCTATTTTGCCTCCCCCCTCCCTTTTTAAATGTAACTGCCTCAGAGTAAGACAATCCTTTCTCTCTCTGTGTCTTTCTGCCCCTGGCGAAGGCAGATCTCCATTTTGAATCAACATTCTGAGAAGGAAAAGGATGAGGTCGTGTAGCCTACTGTGTGTGTGTGTATTTGATCAGGTGTATGACAGAAGACGTTTGTGTGAGTGTGTGTTTGTCTTTCTCTGTGTGAGTGAGTGTGGAGGTGTTCATGTTTAATCTCCTGGTACAACTCCCTGTGAGATAGCTTTCATGCAGTCAAACCACTAGTATTAAAGGGAAGTTAAGTGGTTCCATGGAGAATGCTGTATGACGCTGACTCTGATAGTATTGTCAGGTAGAGGTTCTAATGAAATCTATACAGCGACTACGTCTTTGTGTGTGTGAATGTGTGTGTGCGTTGGTATGTGTGTGTGTTTGAATGTGTGTCAGCGTGCACGTTTCCTTGTGTGTATGAAGGGAGTGGACAGAGAGTGGGAAGAGAAGTCTCACCCTCTTCTCTTAAACGGCTCGTACGCAAATACACAGTCATACAGTCACACAGTCATACACACAAAAACAATGGTAGGCAGCGACTGTTTGCTCAATCCTGACTATCCAAACAAGGGACAAACTGAGCAAGGAGATAAGGATGTAGAGGGAGAGCGAGAGATAGTGATCTGATGTCCAGCTCTTTGTGCAGTAGTGTTTTCATTATGCTCATGACGCCCTCCGCACCAGCCACAGGCTTTAGCCATGCTAGATCAGCCATGGAGATAAACACCTCAACACTTACTTCCCTGGCCCGTCAACTCACACACACACACACACACACACACACACACACACACACACACACACACACACACACACACACACACACACACACACACACACACACACACACACACACACACACACACACACACACACACACACACACAAAATAATTGTTCCATATATCTCTCAGCTCTACAATCACATCTCCATTTTCCATTCCTCAGCCCTGAAGCCACTGTAGGCCTCTCTCATTCACTCTCTCCCTAGCTCATTCTCTCTCTTTCTCTCTGTCTTGACCCCTCCTCTGTAAGATTATGATGATAGGGCAGATGGTACTAGACTAGCTACATCCATACATTTAGTCTCCCATCAGCTCTGTCTCTCTCTGGGCTCTCACCGCTGAGCAGCGCCCCAAGGGACACACAACACTCACTCGCCCTAGATAAGCACACTGGCTGTGTGTGCATGCAACTGTGCACATGGGGTGTTTGTGTGTGTGAGAGACAGAGATAGAGAAAAATTGATATTACAGATGTAGGATCTTAATTTGATCACTCTGTTGCAGGAGAACTTCCTGCAATGCAGGAAATGTTAAACTTTTAGTTTATTTGAAGTTTAAAAAGTATTCTATAGTTAGCAATTTCCACTTACACTTGATTTTCCCTACAGAAATGTTCATTACTTATAATCCACATAATAATTCACATTTCGTGTTTCCTGCTGTATCAAACTGGCTCAAATTAAGATCATACATCTGTATATGATTGTGTGTGTGTGTGTTTCAGAAATAGTTGTATAGTTAGCCTGAAAATAAGGATTGCTCTGCAGGTTTCACTGTTAGTATTACTTATAACGATCTGTTAATTAGAATATACTCTGAGTACAATGGCTGCCACCATTCCCCTGTGTACAAGTTCCTCAAGTTTGCTCATGCTTTTGTTGTCAGGGAAAATGTGTGTGTGTGTGTGTATATGTGTGTGTTCCCCTCCCTGAAGAGAGAAGTGCTGTATTTTAGGCTTTATATTTAGGCATTATAATCAAGTTTTATAATCACCCTTGATGGCCTAGTCTCAGCTCCTCATGCACTCTCTGAGGGGTCAGAGGTGACTGAAGAGACTGGGCCCTCTGCCAGCACACTCCAGCACACAACCCAAGGAGCTGAGGAGGGAGGGAGAGACATGGAGAGGGCGGGAGAGAGAGAAATGAAAGCAAAAGCGACCCCTGAGGACTGTGTGTGTCCCTCTCTAGCTCCCCATATAGAACCCATATAGACCCAACAGTAGGGTGAAAGTATTGTGACCCCCCTCCAGAGGTTAACACAACACTGTGTCAGATAGACCCAAGCCAATGGATAAGATTACAAATACAATAGTACTCAGATAAAAAAACAAGTCATCCTCAGCATTTAAGCCTATTCTGTACATCGTTATAGCTATTCACATTCAACTATATTTTTATCTTTGCTATACCGCTCTCATACCACCCCAGTATTTTGGATAGAACCTGTTGTGCTTCAAGGATAACATTGGAAAACATTTCCTTTCTCATTCAAGCACGGGGCAGATTAGTTAACACCATGAAGCACCTCTGACTGTGTGCAGAGAGAACAGGAGAGGAAAGGCTGGCAGGGAATGCTGCAGGGGCTCTCCACTAAGCTTCTACACTTTCATGTTTTGCATTTAGGGGGAATTTACCTCAGAGGGTAGGGGAATGAAACTACACCACTAAAAGTAGGCCTGGGAACAGGCCTCTAGGCATAGTATGTGCGTGGTGTGAATGTTTGTGTGAAAAGTTGTAGAACATTATCATAGAACATCTTGTCTTATTTAAGCAAGATTTTCCTAATTTGTACATGGGGACGTTCGGTATCGCCAACATCTCCCTGATAGTGTGTAGGAGCCTTATCTCTGTCTCCTCGTCCTTTGTCTGTGTAATTACCCGTTCCCTCCATCGTGGCCAGATTGGTGTTAAACACTTCTTTGACTTTGTCCTGAAATATTGGGGTCACTTCTGCCGAAACAACTGCTATACCCTGTCATTATCTTTCATCATCGCTTGGATTGATGAAGCTAATTAGTAATTAACTCATCAATAATTAAACTGATTTTTCCTTTTTTGGAAAGGGAACATTAATTAATGTGCACAAATACTGAATACCTAATGAATTAGAATGAGAGGTCAATTGTTGACCGTATCTAACCTGCTTTCCCTCTTTCCTCCTGTCTCCCTCTCTCCCTCTCTTCACCCCTCTCCTTCCCTCTCCCATTTCTTTCTCTCCAGATTCGTGCCAGGGCAGGGCCTGGTGTTGTACCCTCAGATCGGGGATAAGTTGGACATAGTGTGCCCGCGGGTGGACGGAGGGGTGCGTGATGGGGTGGAGTATTACAAGATCCACATGGTTCCCAGGGAGCAGCTGGAGAGCTGCACCATCACCAAGGCTGACACACCACTGCTCAACTGTGACAAGCCTGACCAGGATGTCAAGTTCACCCTCAAGTTTCAGGAGTTCAGCCCCAACCTGTGGGGCCTGGAGTTCTTCAGAGGGAAAGACTACTACATCATCTGTAAGTGCCTCATAGTAACACATATATAAGCACGTTTACTGTTCTGTTTTTATTGTGTGCACTCACTGCTGATTGATAGCCAATCACACTTAGGTATTGCTGTCCTAGGCAAAGATGACAGATTTTTGGTTTCCAGTTCTTGTGCGGTCATGGCTAGGGTGTCTTGCTACTAGGGTGTCTTCATACTTTGTGATGCTTTGACAGCCCCCTGGTTTTAAAGGATGGGTGTTGGACTGAACCATCTGTGGTGTGCTGACGGGGGGTGGTGAGGACAACACCATCTGGGTGGCTCTGCCACTGCCATCTGTGAGCTGTCAGACCAGGGGAGGGCCCTCTTTCTGACTGACTGGAGAGGAGGAGAGGATGGAAGAGAAGGAAAGGAGAGCTAGCATTTATAAGTTGAACCAATAGGAACTGTTTCTCAGTCAGCTTAGTAAATAGAGTGCTCTAAGTTTGCAAATCGAACACATTTTTATGCAAGCTAGCCATGTCACTAGCCTGTAGGGGGTGCTAGTAAATATAGTTTTAGTGTTGAGCTACCCTTCAGACATCTACACATGCAAAGGGAGTGTTAGGTAAACAGACACAGTTTAATATGTTATGCCAGGGTCACAGACACATGGTTTGTGTTCTCTAACAGCAGGCTAGGCTTTGAACGTCTCACCTCTGACACGCTGTTACATTAAAATGAACTGTAAAGGACCTGATCACACACACACACACACACACACACACACACACACACACACACACACACACACACACACACACACACACACAGAGAGAGAGTACCAGACACTGTCAACAAAGCCCCCTCTATCTATCCCTCTCTCTATCGCACACAAACTCTCTCAGTTCAAAGTTGAAATTGACACACTCACACCATTTCTCCTCTCAAACACTAGCACACTCAATCAGGCCTACAAGCCGATTAGATTAGAGGGCGTGGCGCGATAGAGAGAGAGAGATAGAGAGAGAGAGAGAGAGAGAGAGAGGAGAGAGGAGAGAGAGAAGAGATAGATGATGAGATAGAGCGATCTCAGTAGCTACTGATATATCGATGCTATAGACGAGTCTGCTAGCCCTATCGCTCCGTACTCTCGATCTCTATCTCTTTCTGTCTTCTTTCTTCTTTCTTGTTTTTCTTTCTTTCTGTCTCTCTCTCTCTCTCTCCTCCTTTTTCGGCTTTCCCTCCTCTTTTTTTGTGTGTTTGTTGTTTTTCTCGCTCGCTCGCGTTCGCTGGTCTGTTCTGTCTTCCCGCCCTGTTTTGTGTGTGTGTGTTCCGCGCGCTCGCCGCGGGCGTGTATTGGCGGTGCGTTCTCCCGCCCTGCTTTGTTTGTGTGTGTGTGTGTGCACCGCCGCAGCGCGCGCGCTCTTGCTGCTCGTCTCTGCGCGCGCTCGTCGGCCGAGCGGACCGCGCGAGCTGCTCGAGAGTTCCATTCAAACTTTATTTTAAGAAAAGGAAGAAAATCCAATTTTGCAGCACTTGCAGATTCATGGTGCCCTCCCATGCCCATCCCTCCCACCTCTCCTGTTCTTAAAAAAAAAACCCAGATGCTAATGTATAGCCGGGAGAGAAAGGGGCCATTTCTCCAGCCGAGCATGGGTTCACATAGCTGTTAATTGCCTCTTGTTCAGTAGCATGGTAGCTAGCTAGAGGCTTGCAGCTGGAAAAGCAAGAAGGCAAGGCAGAACTGCACTGCAGCATGTATACACATACAGTAGGTAGATAACACAGCCTCCGCTTCACATGCCCTAGCACCGGGGCTAGAGAAGAACAAGGACAGAGGGAGGGAGGGATGGAGGGAAGAAGGAGAGTAGGTTTGTGTTTGCTAAATGTGGTTATATGAATGAGTTCTGCTGTGAATGTGCCTTTGTCTATTTGGTGTGAGATCTGAAATAGAGAAAGGCTATTTCAGACAAATTTTTTTATGACTACGTGTGACTGTGTGTTTGTGTATTTTGTGTGTGTGTGTGTGTATGTGCGTAAGTTCTTCAGTAAAAATGCATCGAGCTGTGACCAATTCCGCCTCTGAAAAATGGGACCGTGTGTGTGACTGTATGTTTGTGTATTTTGCGTGTGTGTGTGGCATAAGTTGTGCAGTTAAAACGCATCGAACTGTGACCAATTCTGCCTCGGAAAAGTTCACTTGGGATTTTCATTGGGTTTTTGGTGGTGAGCGGCACTCAATAAGTAATTAATTAAAGAGTGTTTAATCCTGATTTCTGCTTTTAATCAGTTTGGCCCACATCAATGGAATCTCTGAATCAACCAAATGGATTAGCTCTGCCTAGCTGTGTTTAGCTCAGACACAGACTCAAGGGGAGCGTCCCTCCAGGCACTATTCAAACAACTGTGACATTAGCTCTTCGATTTGTGTCTCACACAATGTATTGGATTTAAACACATCACAACCCGCCTCTCGTAAACTAAATGTGACCCACTCTTATTGAGTACAGATACATGCAGACGATAATACGATTATTGTGGATAGTCAGATTAATATAATAGTTTGTTTAAAACGTTTACATGCTTTGCAAGAAGAACGATTTCCCTACTAATCCTATTTACATGGACACATCTGAAATCAGGCTACCTGATGGGACTTAAATAGATGCAGAAAATCACCAATCAAAATAAACGTTCTACCACAGCGACCAGGTTATTTTTGTGAAGCCTATTTGATTCTGAGTTCGGACATTTGTAAATTTGTATGTGAAAATTATTTTCTACGATGCATACTTACAGTTTTTACAAACTCACTTCACTCGCGCATAAGAGGGAGGATTGCGCTACCGGTGCTGGCACAGATCAAATCAAATACACCGCTTGAATGCCGATTAAGCTGTTTACATGTCTTAATAATTCAAAGGATTTCTCAGAAAACCAGATGTTTTAATCGACGTATGCTTACTTCGATTATGACCTTATACCGATTAAGATAAGCAGTGTAAGGTGTTTACATGACTAATGCCATACTCGGCCTTCTGCCATAATCAGTTTAATATCGACATTTTTTGTGCAGGTAAACATACTCATTGTTAGTTGTTGGTTGTCAGTGTAGTTGTGCATTCTCAGCCAGGTCACACCAGATCCACTGCAGTATTAGATGTTTGTTCAGGTCCCCATGATGTCGGGAGATGCCTTTTGCATGCATACAATTTCAGTACCGTCCACTAGGGGAGTTTTTAACCCTATCATAAACCTTAAAGGAAAACTCCACCCACAAACTATCTTTTGGTATTTGTTTCATTAGTCCATTGTTGATATAGTCCCAAAATGTTTTGCATGTCAGCAATCAAGTTTTAAAGATATGTAACTTTCAAAATACAGAAATCCGGGTCGTATGATGCATTTTGCAACATATGAAGCAAAATGCATCATATGTGCCAGATTTCTGTATTTTGAAAGTTACATTGTTACACTATGTGTGTATTTGCTTTACTCTGGGTGTGTGTTTGTGTGGGTTGTGTTTTTCCTTCTGGAGTGTGCACTGTTTTCTCTCTGTGTGTGCACTCTGTTTTCTTTCCCTATCTCTGTGTTTGTATGTGTGCATGGATGCCTTTTAGAGCAGCATACTTTCAAAGAGCTGGGCCACAATGCTGCTCCAGTTGGAGGCAGATGAGTTTGATGTGATTGTTGTAGGCAGCATGGCCTGCAGCTGGGAACTTAGTGAGCAAGATGATTACATGAGCTAAATAGGGAGGGGAGGAGGGAGGGAGGGAGGGGGGTTGAGACAGAGAGAGACAGAGAGCAAGGGAGAGACAGAAAATGTAACTGAATTTATGGAGCGAACAGCCGACATGGCTGCATGGGGGAATTCCATTAAGATTTTAATCACCTATTTGTCAGTCAAAATAGAAAATAGATCAAAACTATTCTCAGTCTCTATTATACTGTCGGTAGCTGGCATGCACTGAGGGTGGAGCGAACAGCCGACATGGCTGCATGGGGGAATTCCATTAAGATTTTAATAACCTATTTGTCAGTCAAAATAGAAAATAGATTAAAACTATTCTCAGTCTCTATTATACTGTTGGTAGCTGGCATGCACTGAGGGGATTTTCTACTGTCGCAACTTCGCTCCAACCTCTCACCCATAGGACAGTATGTGTACACAGGCTGGGGTCCTACCTTTACAATAAAAGTACATTAATGATGATTTTTTTTTTTGGGGGGGGGGGGATTGGTTCCCACATGGGCCACACGTATTGAAGAAATGTGAATATTATTGAAGTCTCTATGGAAGAATGTCTGATTAATGACTATATTACATGACCATATTAAGACATCCGAGGAGCGGGGAGGATGGGGGGGCTGAGATGGGATGGGGGAGTCAGTGGGGTTAGGGAGGGGAGTTGGTATGTATTTGGGGTGACCCTGCCTTTCCCCGGCCTGTTCTGGGGGGTCACGGTGGGCCTGAAGGAGAGGGTCCTCTGTCGCAGGAGATTAAGGTACACAACACTGACTAGCGCTAACCAGCCCACGACCCCAGTACCATGACGATGGCTTCATGCTCCACAGCAAGTAGAGAGGGCATTTACAGCGTCATTTATACAATAGTTGAATCTCTCTCTCACTCTCTCTCTCTCTCTTTCTCTTTCTCTCTCTCTACCTCTCTTTCTCTACCGCTCTACCTCTCTCTCTCTACTACCTCTCTCTTTCTCTTTCTCTCGCTCTATTTCTGTGTTTTGATGGCTCCTCATTGGCTCAGAGTGGTGTGTTAATTATGCTCACTCACACACACAGAGGGGGTTTGTTACTAGGAGCTGTATTAGCCGGGTGCGGAAATTGAGTTAAGTGCTGAAATTCTGTATCCTCGGTCTTGATTGAAACACACAATTGAATAGCGCTCGTTAAAGAGGCAGATTCTTTATTCAGTCTCCTGATTTGATAAAAACAAATAAATGGAGTTAAGGGGCTGAATGATTAGCGATAGCCTTTGAAGTATCAGTGCTATTGAGACAAAGGGAGTTTGTTGTAGTGTGTGGTTGAGAGATGAGAATTAGGAGAGTTTGGGATATTTGTGGCAGTGCTATTTCTGTTGGTTACTTCAAAGCAATGAATGTTTGGCCACACTTACTGCTGTATGTTGTGAGTTTGTGTTGGTGTGTGTATTGCTGTTTGAGAGTATGTGTTTGTATGTCGCCTAAATTGGTCATGGGTGTGTGAAAGCTGTCACTTCTATCCGCTGAGGTGATTTGCCATTTCCAGTGTGTGATTTTTCTTGATCAGTCATCTCCCTCTGTGGTTTGTTTGTGTGTGTGTGTGTATGTGGTGACTTTGTGGTTTAACACAGAATGCTTTGGAAGTGCTCTGAAAGGAACTAGCCCCAGCCAACATGCAACCTGAGTGAGAGCTAAAAGAGTTAGCATGACAAAATGGACTCCTAAATCCGTAAGGACATTTGAGTGAATGTGGCCTGAAGGAAAAGGGTCACACTCGATCTCTATCGAGAGAGAGAGCGAGCGATAGAGAGCGCGAGAGAGAGAGAGTGAGAGCGCGCGCGAGTCAGATCGAGAGCTATATATAGCGAGAGTATAGCGCGTAGATAGACTATAGCGTCGTATGCTCTAGAAAATACCGCACCTCCCTTCTCCCTCTCTTCGTTTCTACTTCTTCATCTTTTTTCTTTCGGGTAGGTCGAGCAGTAGCCAAACCACTCTCTCATAGCTGGGGCATGATGGAAAATCTAGAGAGCTCGATAGCGCTATCTCAGAGCTCTAGAGAGCTCTCTATCTCTTCTATACTCTAGCACGCGAGATCTCTCTCTATCTCTCTCTCTATAAATCTCACTCTCACTATCTCTCACTCTCTCTCTGCCTAGCTAAGTCTTATCGGCGCTCTGTAAGGCGCTGGTGGTAGAAGAAAATCCATTTGTGAGGGGCATGTATGAGCAAAGTCTATCCTCCCTGACGTTCCTTTAGCACAGGGATTACAGCTAGCAGCTAGCTTCTCCTGCCTAACAGCCCAGTGCAGAGCAACTAGGCAGCCAGGTAGCCAGGCAGGCCAGTCAACAATCCCATTCTGTTCTTAACCAGTTCATTACTGCTAGCCTCCAGCCCCTGTTCTACCACAGAGGAAGCCAACTAGGGTGTAGGTTGTATGTTTTTAGCTGAGTAGGAATTAAGATTCACCTAGAGACTGATCTTAGGTCAGTTTTGTGTGTTTTTGTTTTAATAGTTAAGATTAGGAGTTGGGGAGGATGAGCTGATCCTAGAGCTGTGCCTATGGCCCACATCTTTTAGCAGCCTATGTTTTCACGTTTTTATAGGGGTTGACTGGGTTTGTTTGGGTGTGTGTGTTTGTGGTGCTAAGGGGTTTTATAGGAGTGGCTGAGGACAGAGGAGAGAGAGAGGGCACCTTGGAGGTATTGTATAGACAGAAGACCTACATATGCCTGCTGTTGCTGTTCATCCTGAGACCTCAAGCCTGAACTCTGTCCAGCTATCCACAAACAAGCACATGCACACACCCACGCAAGCACACTCACACACACACACACACACACACACACACACACACACACACACACACACACACACACACACACACACACACACACACACACACACACACACACACACACACACACACACATACGCTCAAACACACACATTGTCATTATCAGCAATATTATAATCATCTCTTAATGAGGAAAAGACAGGATAAGACAAATAGAGCTATTTAACACATATAACACCATTGTGTTTGTGTGTGCCCCAGTGCTTTTTGAAATGAACACACACACACACACAAGAACGCACAAGCTTTTAAGAAGCTTTGCACATAATGTGCTTGTCGTCACACCACAAAAAAATTCATAGGCTGGCTTGGGAGAGGGAGAGAGGGAGAGAGGGAAGAGAAAGGAAAAACACAGTCCTTGTGAACATGCTCTTTGTGTCTGTCCATTTCCATCCCAGTCTTATTGGGGGGAAGGATTCGGATAAAAATGATTGAAGTTGAGGAATTTAAAAAAAACAACAGAACGAGAGAAAGCGGTGGTCAGCACAGAGCTGTATTTTTTTTCAACGCTGGTTTCGCAGCGATAGCACAGAAGCACCTGCTTTTAAATGTCCTTCCGGTTGATGAAAAGGCTTTGGTGCGAGGAGGTGTGGGTGGGAGAGGTGGGGACACGGGGTGAGGGGCAAGGTGGGGGGGAGGGGGAGTTTGGTGAGGGAGGGGGGTAGAAGGAAGGGAGCAGGCTGTGAGGCGCCTGTCTTCTTGCGGAGGGGAGGGGTGTAGTGAGAGAGAGAGAGAGAGTGAGAGAGGGGGCATTGGACAGAGGGAGGGAGTTTAGAGAGAGATGAGCAGGAGGGGGGGACATTGAATGCAGGCCACTGCACGCTGGCGGGAGGCCAACGCGCTAAGCCCTGGCTGCTCGTTAGCCTCTGTGTTACTGACCTGATAGACCACAAGCCCCCTCTCCCAACCCCCCACGCCAGATGCAGCGCTGCCTGCTGCCTCTAGGGGCAGCAGAGGGACTGTTAGAGAATAGGCCCAGGAAGGGAGGGACTAGGAGAGAATAGGCCCAGGCAGGGAGGTCCAGTGAAATCAGTATGGAGGTCTATGCCATGGCTATATCCACAGAACAGCACTCACTGCTTATAGTGTAGCTAGTCACAGTCTATTGATTCTGCCCATGGGCGTGCAGGCTACATCTGTGTACAGCGTTTTAATGTTATTTTCTAATCTGCTATTCTGTCTTTAAAAGTCCTCCCAGCATCTGTTTAGGGGCCCATTTTGTTCCTCTATCACATGTGGGACGTCTTTCGCCTCCCCTCATATCCGCTCTCCGACATCTGTTCAGCGCTCCCCAAAACACAGTGTTTAGTGCACCACTTTGGCTGCTCTCGCCTCTTGCCGCAGTTTAAACAGCTTCTCAAACCCTTTAAGCTCTTTTATATTTAAGGGTTACTGAAATATTTAGCACCTCCATCCATTCTCTCAGTTGTTTTCACTGCCTTTTCATCTCGCCCTCAACGGAAATAAAAAAACAAGCCCATTTTACTTTCCTGCGATTGTTTATTTCCCTCTCTTTTATTCATCATTTATTTCCTCCTGTCTTTTTTATTTTCTATACCCTTCAGCAGGTTTGGGTTAGAGGGGAGTGTTTGAGAGTTGTATGTGCAGTAGCTGGTTCTTCTAATCCCACTGTAGCACTCTCCAGAGTGTCGTACTTGTTAATGTCCCATAAGCCACTGTAGAGTTTCCTGTGTCTCAGCCAAGATTCAAGATGGTCACCTATTGTTCCTGTTCTATTGTCTCCGTCTCTCTCTGTCTCTGTAACTGGCGGTTCTACTGGGCCAGTCAGCTCAGTTAGAGATATTACACACACAATTACTCAAGCTAATTGACTTTGGAGACGTAGGCTACGTGGAATATTCTGGCAGCAGTTTAGAGTGACTGGGGTGACGAGGGGATGGATTGTGACTTTATTAAGAAGAAATCACTTGCTTGTTAGGGGATTTCAGCGTTTCCCTGACATCTTTAAAATGTGTCTGGTTAGCCCAAGACAGACTTAATTATTATTTTGATGTTTGCGATGATGTTAGCACAGTGGCTAATGCTAACCGTCTCTCTCTCTCTCTCTCTCTCTCTCTCTCTCTCTCTCTCTCTCTCTCTCTCTCTCTCTCTCTCTCTCTCTCTCTCTCTCTCTCAGCAACATCTAATGGCACCATGGAGGGCCTGGAGAACCAGGAAGGAGGGGTGTGCAAGATGAAGTCCATGAAGATAATCATGAAAGTGGGACAAAGTGAGTATTACTCCTTCTTCCAAACGACATTTGTAAGTGTATGTGAGTGCTGGTGGCGTATAGTTATAAAAAGATAGCCATACAGCCTGATAGAATGTGTGAAAATTGTATGAAACTGTATTTGCATAACACATAGTAAGGTTATCTGAGGCATTGTGAGGTATTTCATTATTCAGCCCAATAGCCTCCATGACACTTAGGACAGATAAAGAGAGAGAGGGAGAGGTGGGGGTCTCCAGATTTAATGGACATGAATTGTAATTGGTCAGGAGATGAATACCCCCACCACACACACACACACACACACACACACACACACACACACACACATCCTATTTTCCTAAACCTAATTCTAACCCTATCAATAATTCTACATGAACCCTAAACCCCCTAGAAATCGCATTTGACCTTGTGGGGACTAGCAACATGTTCCCAGTTGGTCAACTTTTTGTTTGTTTATTATTCACACGAACGAACGCACGCACGCACGCACGCACGCACGCACGCACGCACGCACGCACACACACACACACACACACACACACACACACACACACACACACACACACACACACACACACAAACACACACACACACACCACATCTGTCCTCTGTGGCGACACCCGCCACCCGGCACCTGCCGGTAATTAATGACCATGATTATTCATAAATCAGTTGCCTCGCCACCCAACGGGGTAATTTCCTGAGGTTGCTGTCTACAACAGCAGCAGCAGCTCACTGAGAACTGCTGAAGGTCAGGGAATTAATCAGGAGTGCTGCGCTTTCATTAAGAGCAGCGCCACACACACACACACACACACAAACACACACACACGTGCAAGCGTGCTACACACACACTACACGCGACATATGCACAGCACACACACAGTGAAAGTGAATCATCCATGTCCATTGTGCCTGATAGTTGTGTTCCTTTTTCTATGTGTTCCAGATCCCTCTGACCCTATCTCACCCAAAGACTACCCCACCAGATACCCTCCCAAGCACCCCGACAAGGAGTCATACAAACCAAACGAAGTGCTGGAGAAGAAAGGTAAGCGTACTAAGAAAGACTTATGAAATCATCAGGCATTCAGGTCTACCTTTCAAAGACAGTTTCGGTAAAACCAGGTTGAGTGTCTGTGAGTGTGTGTGTGTGTGTTTGTTTGTGTATGTGTGTGTGTGTGTGGGTAAGCGTAGGAAGTAAAGGTCAGCAATTCTTCTCCTGGTAATTGAAAGTTGCCCATAAAACTGATAGGCATCTCTGCTGGGCTCTCAAAGCCTACTGTATCCCAGTTCCATTCCCGCCCCACTTCCTGTCCGCAAAGTGACATTTTCAGGAAAACGATCCAATCGCCATCCAACATATTACCGTCCTTCTCGGAGCACAGACACACACTTGTTCTCCTCAAACACACACACACGCACACACACACCGACCGTTCTTATCTCTCCTATTATATTGCAGTTAAAATCTCCAAAGAAAACCAGACCCGCAATTTCCGCAATGAACTTTATTTTGAAGAAAAAAATCAGTAGAGCAGTGAAAACAAGCTGACCTACATAAACGCTGCTGCGGTGGAGGCATCGAGTCGCTCGCTGTCCTGTTACCGAGGGTGCAGCTCCTCTAGCCCCACCTTTCTGTTTTCACACTCAAATCCCTCTGACAACCGGCGCACAAATCTGCCAGCGCTGGCACCCCAATCTGCAGACCTCAGCATCTTCTCCCCTCCTCTCCCTTTTCACCTCATCCCTCCTCCTCGGCTCGGAGCAGGAGCATATGGGCGTCAGTGGTATGAGCAGAGTGTCTGAGGCAGCATAATCCCCTTGTAAAACAACGGAAGGGTACCTGCGTTGGGCCCACTGCCATCCACCATAGCTCCAGCACTAGCCCTCAGGGGAGTGGAGCCAGACAGGGAGACACAGTAATCCTGCTTCCCAGGGAGGAGGCCCCTATCCTAGGGGGGAAGGGAACAGACCTGCCCTTGAGTGCTGGATGTATACCAGAGTCGTTGTTATTAATAGAGATGACACAGCTTGCTTGGGTTTTACAGTTAATGTTGCTTCATTGTATAATACTATCAAATTCCTTGTGGACTTGTGGAAAAGGAATGTCTCTATATTCATTTTGAGATGTTTTTCATTGACATGCTACTGCATTGAAAAACCACTTCAGCCATTTTGTGCTATGTGGGACTGTGCTGTGCTGTAGCTCCAAGGCCATAGTGACCACCAGCTGCATTTGAATAGACCAGAGATCGAATGTGACCTTAAGGGGAGAGTTGTGTGAAAGGAGCCCTTACTCTCTGGTCATTGTGCTCACTCCGCCTGCCTTTCACCTTCACTCTGACATAATGAAGAGATTGTGCAGGGTGAGGAAGAAAGGGAGGGAGAGAGAGGGAGAAAATGGAAGGATAAAACTGAAAGGAGACCCCTAATCCTTCTATGATCCCTCCCTCCCTCTCTTTCTCCATTCTCCCTCCCTCCATCCACTCTCACTCTGTATGACTTGACACTCGTTTTATAAAGATTTTCACTCACTCACTCGGTTTCTCTTTTCTCCTTCTTCTCCTCTCAGGTCCGTCGTACAGGGAGGGCGAAGGTGACCAGGGGACGGGCGGGAAATCATCCAGCGTCATCGGCTCTGAAGTGGCCCTGTTCGCCGGCATTGCCTCGGGCAGCGTTATCTTCATCATCATCATCATCATGCTGGTTGTGCTGCTGCTCAAGTACCGGCGGCGGCACCGCAAGCACTCTCCACAGCACGCCACCACGCTGTCACTCAGCACACTGGCCACGCCCAAACGGGGCGGCAGCGGCAACAACAATGGCTCGGAGCCTAGTGACATCATCATCCCGCTCAGGACTGCAGACAGCGTCTTCTGCCCACACTACGAGAAAGTCAGCGGGGACTACGGTCACCCAGTGTACATCGTTCAGGAGATGCCCCCCCAGAGCCCTGCCAACATCTACTACAAGGTCTGAACTCAGCTCCACCCACCAGACACCGCTCCTCCATGAACGCCCCCCCAGAACGCTCTATCTCCTTCCTTCCCCACCTCTCTGTTGTTTTTTCTTGTTGAACTTTACTATTCCTGTTATTATTCTTCATTGTTGGGATTTGTTGGAGAACTCACAGAGTAAAGCTGCTGCTGCTCTCTGGGGCTTTTTGGGGATCCCTCCTCTCCGCTCCTCTCCTCTAACAGTAGCTCTCTGTTTCTTTGCGCACTATGACTGACGCTGGGGATCCGAGCGTGTGTGTTTGTGTGTGGACGGACGAATGGAGAGACAGAATGACGCACCCACGCGTGTTTCTTTTGGAATAGGATGGACAGATGAAAAGAGGAGGAGGAGTTGACCCAAACCTCCTTCGATATCCTACTCTAGTATTCTCCCTGAGAGAGACTACTGCTGGGAAAGAGAGGGGAAGAGACAAAGGAGAGGAAAAGGAAGGGGCCGACCATGAACTCATGTCAGTAATGGCAGTCAGTCTCTCTCCTCACTGGCCAGAGACATTTTGTGGATTAAATGACGGAAGAGGAAAAAGCAAGAGGGATTCGGAAATATCCACTCTGGGACTTTCCTGACTGACACATGGACATCACCCACTCACCCTATCACCTACCCACCCACACACTCACCCACTCTCATTCATTGTGAACTGTTCAGGTCCTCGTACTAGTTACAACCCACTTTTCCCTCATTGTCTGACGACACCTTTTACTTTCTAGCATTATGATTCATTAAAGTTGTTACTTGAAAAAAGGTTTGTAAAAAAACATGATTATTTTTTGTAGTGTCATATTGTTGGTTCATTTCTGGTTTTCATTGCTGGTATTGTTCAACTTGCAGATAGATTTTTTTAGTGACGTGGTATTGTCGCAGCTCATGTCGTGATGGTGTATGTGATGTTCAAACACACATACACACACACACGCACACGCACACACACACACACTGCGACCCAGGACTGGGAAAGCAGCAGAGAGCAGGACTTAAAGAGGGAGAGAGGGACATGACGGAAGATGAGGGGTTTTATGTGGGATCTACCCCATCAGGGGATAGGGTGCTCATTATACCCCCTCTGTGGGGTCAGGGCTAGCCAGGTGGCTTCTGGGAAGGGTAGGGACCTAAGCGAACAATAGAGCAGCACTTTTAAACCCCTGGTCCCTCCACCCAGGCAGTCAGTCAGATCACAGAGAGGGAGAGAGTGGCAGTGGTAGTGTAGGTAAAAGAGAGAGAGAGGAGAGCAGCTGTATCTCTTCAGTAAGGGGATAACAGTTGCAAGGGCTGGCTTGAATTTTCCACAGATAGGACTTTACAACATGAAGAGGTGTTAATGAACTGGAAGTACAGGCAATAAGATATCCCAACCTGCCTTACTGCTGCAGTTTCCGCGACATGGAAGAAAGGTAAAGATAAGAGAGGCCCAGGTCTAGTTGAGTTTAACCCAGCCGCTGGCTGAAACAGAGAGGCCCAGGTCTAGTTGAGTTTAACCCAGCCGCTGGCTAAAACAGCTCTAGGTACTGTAATGTCTGCTCCCAGGGGCAGCAAGGGACCCGGAAGCCCCCCAAGGGCCCGAACAGGTGGACTGGTGCTCTCATACTCAACTTTGAAAAAGCACAGGGACATCAAAGCGCATTGTCACTGTTTTTCAAGCATTATCTTTAGCATTTCCTTATTGTGAGTTTTTGATTATTATAATTTTTGTAACAAAAAAGATATACATTTAAAGGAGGACATTTTAAAACACAAAAAAACATCTGAAAAAAGCAGAATTTATTTATGATAGACACAGAGCACAGGTGTTGTCAGAAAGGGGGTATTGAGAAGTTAACGTTAATATATTATGGTATAAAAGTGCACATTATGCAAGCTAGGGTTTGATTATTTGATATCTATTTCACCCATAATGTCCCACCTTTTCATCAACTCCCACCCAAATGGCTGCCTTTTCCAGATACACAGGGCTAGGGCCTGGGAAGGGGATAGGGAGGGGAGCCTGGACACGAGCCCCAAAGGGGAGAGGAGGAATGTTGGACCCAAAATAGCATAACTGGGTGCACGAGGCAGACCAGCAGTATATCCCACACTCCAATGTAGCACCTCCCAAAGGACCATGGGAAGATTCCCACGATTACCCTGTCCCCCCTTCCCCCACACTACCACGTGGTAGTGTTTTCTCTGTGTTTGAGAGTGAGTGTGTGTGTACCTCCTCTTGAGGAAGTCCAGTGAAACAGCTATTTGCCTGTTTATTCACACACGTGAAAACACTGACTAAAGAAAATGAGAACTAGATTGTGACTTAGAACACGCCCCAAACATGTATCTGCTCACTACCAACATTCTCATTAGATCATTAAGAACATCAAATTTCACCGAAAAAGCCAAGCCTTGTATGATACAAGGTTTGTGCCTCTAAGAGGCTACAAAATCTGCAATATGCAATTTTTCTTTATTTTTTTAAGAATTGAGAAAAACCTACACCTATGGAAAGTGTTCTTAAACCACTGAGAGATGTAACAACAAACAAAACAAAAACAAAACTAGCAAAGAACGTCACACAAGCTTGCTGTTAGGTTTTTCATTTGTAGTATTATTTTAACCCTTATTTTTGGTGTGATTTTTTTTTACTGTGTGCCGTAGTTACAAGGTAAACTGTGAAAAAAGAAACATTTTCAAAATGAAATGCACCTGGACAGTTATTTAAGAAATAGCGAAAAACACTAGGAATCACAAACAAATTGCTGTTTAGTTGCTGTCTGACTGCGGCAGAATATGACAATCTTATTAGTTTCTTTGAATCTGATGTCCTTATCCTAGCTAACGTATAACTGATATCCTCCTAACATTGCTAGGGTAGATTTTCTGTCTCGGTTATATGGATGAAATATTACAGCAATGTTGAGAGAATGTTAGTAAGCTGGCTAGGAGAAGTACTTCAGGCTACTGTAAAATGCCTTGCTCGTATTGGTCAGCCCTTGGTCACCTGACTCAGTAATTTTGCACCGTTCTTCTGTAGGTAAGAAACTGTAAATACATTAATGTTTGTATTGTAAATGGATCCTGGGTTGTTACGATAGCCTTATTCACCTTTTTAGGAAAGTAAATGAAAAAAAATATATACAGAAAAAACGGAATACACTTCAGTAAAACAGAGCATACTACTTTTTTTGGTAAATAGCTTATGTAAATATTGACAAGATCCCAATAAAACATTTTTTTTTTTTTTATAAACTCTTAAAGTAAGATGTTTTGTATAAAATTTACATTTTTTGCTATGTATTTTAGCTAGCGCTCATTGGAAAGCCCTGTGTCCTCCCACTCCCTCCCCCTTTGCACTGTTTCCATGGAAATTTGGTTTTTAAAAAAAATTAGAAAAAGTTGCCAAACCGACTGCTGCATATTCGTGCCATAAGTGTGTACCATAAATATTTATTGAATTAGTTTTTTTTGTTCTGTTTTTGATTTGATTTCTGTCCAGTTTTTAAGTAACACAGTATTATGATTGCGTTGTTCATTTGTCTCCCTGGTTTCTTTAGTCTGTTTTGATAGGTTTCCAGGTGGCCGTATCTGTAGCCCCTCCCCTTGCAGTTTGAGATGGCCAGGCCGTTGAAATGGTTAAACATTCAAAAAACGAAAGAAATGAAAGTGAGGAAAAATGACACACATTCCACCAGTCTGTTACAAACTGAAAATGTTTTTCAATAAAATGTTTTTCCTATGGACATGCCGTCTGTCTGTATTTATGTCTGAAATAGATGGAGTTTATGAACATGTGGATCTCTACAGGACATCACACTATGCAAGACTTGTGGTTACAATATGGTCTGTTAATGCTAATATAAGCAATGAGACAATTACATAGTCAAGTGTAGTCGCTAGGAAAAAAGTAATGTGTTTCTCTATGTTGTGTGTCTGTGTGCTGCCTCATTGCAAAACGAACCCAAAACTTTACACAAAGTTAGACACGGACACAAATTATCTGTTTGGCGTGTTAACACACTGGTGGTTTGTTGTAACCGAGTATTGGTGCTAAACCGTGTTATTGGAGGCTGGCATGCTAGTTGGCTATGGCGTCATAGGATTCGGTGCCCTGGACGGTTTTCACGGAAGAATACTGTACCGGCTCCTGAGTGGCGCAGTGGTCTAAGGCACTGCATCGCAGTGCTAACTGTGCTACTAGAGATCCTGGTTCGAATCCAGGCTCTGTCGCAGCTGGCCGCGACCAGGAGACTCATGGGCGGCGCACAATTGGACAAGCGTCGTCCAGGGTAGGTGAGGGAATGGCCGGCAGGGATGTAGCTCAGTTGATAGAGCATGGCGTTTGCAACGCCAGGGTTGCGGGTTCGATTCCCACGGGGGGCCAGTATAAAAAAAGATGTATTCACTAACTGTAAGTCGCTCTGGATAAGAGCGTCTGCTAAATGACTAAAATGTAAAAAAGTTAGCTAGCTGAATAAACTAAGTTAGAGTCTATTCCTAGAAAACATTGAACTGCTCTAGTTTACAACAATTATAATTTCTAAAGTGGAAGTTGGGAGAGTTATATTTGAGTGTTTCAGTGAAACATGAGGGAGGCCCCGCTCTCTCACTTTCCCAGATGTTTAGTTCATTTCATTCCGATCTCCTTTGCATTATTGTAGCCTTTTTCTGTAGCCTGTCAACTATGTGTCTGTCTATCCCTGTTCTCTCCTCTCTGCACAGGCCATACAAACGCTTCACACCGTGTGGCTGCTGCCACTCTAATCTGGTGGTCCCTGCGCGCACGACCCACGTGGAGTTCCAGGTCTCCAGCAGCCGCTGGAACTTCCGTTCTGCGGCCAACAAGGCAGAGTTCATCTCAGCCTATGCTACCCTCCAGTCCCTCGACTTCTTGGCGCTGACGGAAACATGGATTACCACAGAAAACACTGCTACTCCTACTGCTCTTTCCTCGTCTGATCATGTGTTCTCGCATACCCCGAGAGCATCTGGTCAGCGCG